TTTTTGCCATAGAGAGCCTCATATGGTGCCATATCAATTGTAGACAGGAAACTGTGTTACAGAAAAATTCTACTAAAGGCTATGACGCTCAACTCTCTCTAAGGTCTAATATAAAAGCACACAACAAATTTTCCAATATTTGAATAGTTCTTTTGAAAATTGAGCATGCGATTAGAGATGATAAGCTATGCTAAAATTATATTTTGTACCCAATACTTAATGTAAGCTTTTCTAGAATTTAGAGGTAAACCTCAAGTCTCTATCCGAAACAATATATATATGAGAACTTAGTGCAATCTGACTCTCTAGTGCAATCTGACTCTCTATCTAATGTATTATTATACCAACTGATCCATACTAAATGTCATTTTCAAAGGAAAAAGTGAGATGTCTTTGTCAATCGATCAACAATTACCCAAATGGCATTATTTCCCTTCATTGGTTATAGAAAACCGACTAAAAAATCGGTCAAAATATGTTTCCATTTTCATTATGGTATTTCCAGAGGATTTAATAATCATGAAGGTCTATGATGTTCTAATTTTACTTGTTGACAAACTATGCATTTACCGACAAAAACTCCAATACTTCTTTTCACGTTCTTCCACCAAAATATATCTCAAAGGTCTTGATACATCTTTGTACCAATTGGATGAGCGAGTGTGAGCTTCTTCTAGAATTTCCTTTCTCAATTTCTCATCCTTAGGCACATAAAGCCTTCATTTGAACTATAATTCTTTATCTAATGGCACCTCAAAATACTTCCTCTAATGTGATCCAACTTCACTTATAATTTTTTTTGGAGAAATCAATCCTTATCTTGCTCTTCAACAATTTGATCTTTAAAATTTGGTGAATCATCAAAATTGCTATCTAAGATGTAATTTGATTCGCAAAAACAACCTGAATTTTCATCTTTTGGAACTCCTTAACTAACTGATCTTGATCTGCCATAAAAATGCCAACTAACCTTCTGATTTCCTGGTTAGTGCATTTGTAATCATATTAGTTCTATTGGGATGGTAAAGTATAGTGCAGTTGTAG